AGGTGGCTCAGTGGGTAAAGAATCTGCCTGCAATGCAAGAGACGTCGGAGACACCAGTTTGATTCCTGGTGTCCAGGAAAATCCCTTAAAGGAGGGCATGGCATCGAGTAGGTACTCCAGTATTCTTACCTGGAGAATCCCATTGACAGAGGAGCCTGGAGGGCCACAGTCCACAGGGTCACAAAGAGTTGGACATGATTGAATTGACTGTGCACGCACGAATGCACCTTCTTACAATCTTTTGACGTCCACATGATTCCCTCTAGCTGTGCAGAATCTCATACCTTGTACATGCCCTTCTTCCTGCCCTATTTGTACTTCCTTCCCCTGCTCTGCCTCGGTTTAATGTATTGCAGAACTTACATAGCAGAGACTTTTGTAAGCTAAGCACTCATCCATCTGGGCTAGTACCTGTCTCTATTCTCCCATCTTCTATTTAATTTACTAGGGAGTGAAATAACTAGAATTAGCAATGCAGCACTCCTAGAACTCACTTTTGGGATTAATGTATACCCCACCATGGAGCTGCTTATTTCATGGAGAAATCATCTCAGTTGACATGGTCTGAGAAATTGGAAATTGTCGAATAGGAGTTCTCCTATGATCAAGACTGTAAAACCTGCTAGAAAAATTAATAGGCTCATCCAAGATAACTTACTAAAATGTATTCTTAATTGCACTACTGTCTTTTTCTATCATGACTCATTGGGTGTAGACTACAGTTTTCTTCATTTGTCCCTTGTAGAGATTATAATCAGCATTTGGTTTAGAAGATAGTTTTACAAATGTTTGCCTTAAAAATTGCTCAGTGCTTAGGGAGCTTTCTGGATGGTGTTGCTAGCCTTTTTCTAGCCGAGTCATCTTTTTTTCTTACTAACTCATATCTGTAAATTTGTTTACAAAAGTAGAAACATTGCCCATCTGTAATAAACACCCCTGAGTGCAGTAACCATTACCAGAGAAGAGCACTTTTATAGATATTGTGCTATTTTCAGGCTTGCTGACCTTTCGCCTCTTTATTGGTTGCTATAGTGATGATCTGAGCCCTGCTTAATGGAGCTTTACTAACATGAAAGCAATCAATAAGCTTTTTAACTATAATGTTTATATTGATAGTTCCTAGTAACACGTATCAAAATAAAATTTATCCATATAAATGTATCCAATAGTAGAATTTTATTTTTTAAAATCATGTGTCAGTACTGCTGCTGCTAAGTCGCTTCAGTCGTGTCCGACTCTGTGCGACCCCATCCCTGGGATTCTCCAGGCAAGAACACTTGAGTGGGTTGCCATTTCCTTCTTCAACGCATAAAAGTGAAAAGTGAAAGTGAAGTCGCTCAGCCGTGTCCGACTCTTCGAGACCCCATGGACTGCAGCCCACCAGGCTCCTCCATCCATGGGATTGTCCAGGCAAGAGTACTGGAGTGGGTTGCCATTGTCTTCTCCGTGCGTCAGTACATGTTTATGTAAATTGAAAATTATTAAGTGCATTCTGTGGCTTTCTTAGAATTCTTGGAATACTTTTGTGAGGACATAAAAATATGGATGCAACTTGAAATGTAGATTTGAAAGACTATTTTGAAGTGGACAATAAAACTTTTTCATAACAGCAAACTTTTGAAGTTGCAGCTTCCATGGTTGATAGTTTCTTAATCAAGTCAAGTCTGAGAACTCTTTTAGCACCTTGTCCTAAGAACACTCTAGGCCAAGCTGTCCTTCTGTACACCTGTACAACTTCTAATGATTTCAGAGGAACCCTGCGACACTCAGAAGAACAGTTTGATCTGACAAAATTCACCTGGCAAAGTAAATAGAAGAGCATGAAATATGTTTCCAAAGCTCACTTAACAGTTTTAAAATTTTATACATTAATAGTAGACAGAATACTATTTTTAGAATTATAGTGAAACTTTTGTGAACATATTTTTGAGGAATTTGATTATTTTTCATTTAGAATTAAATAATATTTATTTTCCAATTATGTTCTCATATTCTGATTAACATGTTGTAAGTGAAATTCAAGTACATTTAATATAATAAGCTCTCTGGGATTGTCATTGCAAAGAAGGAAGTCTAAGAAATGACTTAGTTCTTCCTCTCATGAAGAGCTAGCATATGTGCTTTGAAAGTAATCGGATAATTAGTAAATAAATATATGATATTCTAGGTAGTGATAAGATTCAGGAAGTTTAATAAAACAGGAAAAAGGTGTAGAGAATAAACAAGGAATGAGAAGGAGATACTATTTTAGATGGAGTTGTCAGCCAAAACCATCATCTCCTGCCTCAATTATTGCATCAGGTTTCTAATTGGGCTTTTGGTATTTTCCAGGTAAGCATCTTTACAGCAAACATTTTTGCAGCAAATAGTTTTGTCATATAACTAATTGGCCTTAAGGCAATTTTGCTGTAGAAGATGAAATAACTGGTTGACACTTTGGTTTGATAGTTTGGTTTCATTTCTCCATTGATGGAGTGCCCCCATTTTTATATTACATGAATATTAGCTGTCATAATGGTCTATAGAGTGATGAGTAGATGTTGGTGATCTTAAAATATTGGATGATAGCAATTACTGAAATGTGAAATAAGAGAAGGTAAAGCCAAACTGTGTACGATACTAGAAAATGATAACATTGGTTTTCAAATCCTTCTGTAACTTGAAGATGCAGAGTTGAACCCACATTTTCCATGCAACTTTGGAATGTCTGTCGGTGGACATAGACTATCAACATGTGACATATCTATCAACATGTGACAGTTTGCCAAGAACAAACAACAGCATAGAGGCCTTCACAAAGCAATACAGAACTCAGTTACAAATATACACCGTAGTATTTGGAAACTGATACCTTTTTCTTCTTTTTTAAATTTCTTATTATTTTTTGGCTGTGGTGGGTCTTTGTTGCTGCATGTGGGCTTTCTCTTAGTTGCCGCGAGCAGGGGCAATTCTCTAGTTGTGGTGCATGGGCTTCCCATTGTGGTGGTTTCTCTTGGTGCAGAGTACAGGCTCTAGGGTGCGCAGGCTTCAGTAGTTGCAGCACATGGGATCAGTAGTCGTGGTTTCCAGGCTCCGGAGGGCTGGCTCAGTAGCTGTGGCACAGGGGCTTAGTTGCTGCGCAGAATGTGGGATCTTCCTGGATCAGGGATTGAACTGGTGTTCCTTGCATTGCAAGGCAGACTCAACCATTGGACTATCAGGGAAGCCCTGGTACCTCTCTTAAGGAAGGAATACATTTTAGCAAAAAGATGTTACACTAAACGAGGAGATGAGTTAACAAACCTATATATATATATATATATATATATATATATAATACTATGAACAAAAGACTTGGAAGACAAGTTCTTAGGTACAACTCACTAAATAAAATTAGTTATTTATGCAGTATCACCATGAATCTTTACACATTTAAAAATATATTCAAATATTTCATATTCACTATAAAATATTTAAAATTTTGTTATTCATTTTCACATTTCATTGTTTCCTTTTTTTTTTTTAATGTTTATTTATTTTTTGGCCATGCCAAACAGCATATGGGATCTTAGTTCTCCAGCCAGGGATTAAACCCATGCTCCATACATTGGAGGAGAAGGAAATTGCAACCCACTCCAGTACTCTTGCCTGGACAATCCCATAGACGGAGGAGCCTGGTAGGCAGCAGTCCATGGGGTCACTAAGAGTCAGACACGACTGAGCGTCTTCACTTTCACTTTTCAGTTTCATGCATTGGAGAAGGAAATGGCAACCCACTCCAGTGTTCTTGACTGGAGAATCCCAGGGACAGGGAGCCTGGTGGGCTGCCGTCTATGGGGTCGCACAGAGTCGGACACGACTGAAGTGACTTAGCAGCAGCAGCAGTCATACATTGGAAGCACGGAGTCTTACCCACTGGATGGCCAGGGAAGTCCCTCATTGTTTCCTTTTTAATGTCACCCTTTTATTTTTTATTTTATCTTTTACAGCAAAATTGCCTTATGGCCAAATAGTTATTCAGCAAAAATATTTGTGGCAAAAATGCTTACACTGAAAATACCAGACACATTGTAATTGGTTTCTTAGCTTTTACTTTCATGCCCCTAGCGTCTGTTCATACAGTAGCCACTCAGAATATAAGTAAGATACCATTTTTTGTCTGTTCAAAACCCTGCGACAGCTTCTACTTGGAATAAAATTCAGAGTCCTTTTAGCCTGCAAGAGCCCACATGATCCTTCTTTCTTTGGCCTCACCGACCCCATTTCCTTTCACCTTTCTCCTTGTTTACTGTGCTCCAGGTGAAGATTGTTCCTGAACATGCCCAGTAGGTCTCTGCCTCAAGGCCCCTTGTTACGTTTGATTTCCTTCTGCTGAGAACGGGCTTCCTGGAGCTACTTCCCTTATTGCTCGCTGATACCTCCCCGGAGTGGCCTTCCGTCACGGAAGGCCAGTCTGTCTACAAGTAGCATCCCACCATCAGTCTGTCTCTCTGCTCAACTTTATTTTCTTCAACTTATGATCTTTTGCTTTTGTATCACACTTCCGTCCGTGGGTATGTGAGACCATCAAGCACCACAGAGCAAGTATTTGGGCTCCCTCACTCACTGCTCTATCTCTGGCACCTGGAATAGTGGCAACGTGTTATAAGAGCTCAGTGATTATCTGTGGCAAAAAGGAACGAACATGCCTTAAGAAGGGATGACTGAAAAATGGGGAGAAAATAGTCATAAAATGTTAAATGGTTTGGAGGCTTTAAAAAGGATCCCAGGAGCTAGTGCTTTCCATGATCCTGATTCTGTCTCCCACTGTCACTTGGCGGAACCTAACCTCAGTTGCATCCTAACCTCAACTCTCTTTCCCCGCCTTCGCTTTTTACCACAGAAAGTCTTTAGCAACTAGCATGAGTGAATATTGTGTAGCTGCCCATTATAGATGTGAATTTTTGGTGACTGCATTTCCAGTTCTAAAATACTTAACATGGATTGACTTATGGTCATGTTCTTTCTTTTCTTAATTAAAGCATCACCAAATGCCCCAAAGCTTGGCCCCATGGAGCTGACCATTGTTATTACTGTGCCAGTTTTCCTCCTGTCCATGGCTTCAGTGCTGACTGTATGGGCATGCCAAGGTCGACAGTGCACCTACAGAAAGAAAAAGAGATCCAACGTGGAGGAGCCCCTCTCTGAATGCAATCTGATAAATGCTGGGAAAACTCTAAAAGATCTGATTTACGATGTGACTGCCTCTGGATCTGGCTCTGGTATGTGCCTGTTGTTCATTCTTTCAGTAAGAAAAACTTAAAAATAAATCCCATTTTTTTCTTAAATTTTTTTTTATTGTGGTAAAAGTCACATAATATAAAACACACTATTTTAACTATATTTAAGTGTAGAGTTCAGTGATGCTAACGACATTCACATTGTTGTGCGACTCTCATCATCTTTCCATGTTCTGAATTTTTCACCTTCCTAAGCTGAAGCTGTGTCTCCATTAAATGCTAACTCTCCATCCCCTCGCCCATCTCTCCCCCCATCCCCCAGCCTCTGGCATCTACCTATGTACTTTCTGGCTCTATGACTGAGTCTTCTAGGTACCTTGCTTTTTAACAAAAAAGGGGCCCAAATACTATTAATTCCATTGTTTAAAATATTTAATATGGTACATGGTAAATTCTGGCATAGAAACTTCTTTCATGATTTGATGAAGAGTAAAAACTGTCCTGGCCTAAAGAATTAAATCTTCTCAATTGCTTTTTGTGCCTTTAGGTATTCAGATTCTCATTTTCACATGCCTTCAGAATTTATTTCTGAAGCCAGGAGTTTCTTTTCTCAGCTCTCTGCCACATTCTGGTTAGTAATAATAGTTGTTGCTGTCTTGGTCATGTTTCAGGGGCACAAAAGTATAACAGGGCTTAAGCATTGAATTTTGGGGAAAAGATATTAGTTATACAAAGTAGTGTTTTTGCTTGTGATTATGAAGGTCTTTGGAATCTGTAGTCAGCCCCTGGGGTATGTGTGTGTGTGTGTGTGTGTGTGTGTGTGTGTGTGTGTGTGAAGTTAATAGGGAGCTGACCTGAAATTCAAATCAAGACTATGTTCTTAAAGCTTAGAAAGAGAAGACAAAGGGAAGAGTACAGCTTCTGGTGTTCGCTGCTGCTGCTGTTGTGGTTATATGATAACTCTTTCCCTCTTTAATGGAACTTCAGAACCCCTGATGAAGCAGTTCAAAATACCAGGCTGTGTTATGGCTTAAATGAGCCTTTCTCATAGCACAAAGCATCTGAGGGCTTTTTGGGTTTCCGGTGACAGAGCAGCTTCTCCCCAGTAATTACAAACTTCCTAAGATGGCAGAGGACTCCCAGCTATCAAGTATATTTCAGCACATGGTGCTGCAGAAACATGAACTAGGGTGAGCCTCTGTGAACCATTTCGGTCATTCCTGCTTTGGAAAGATCATTAAGGATGATTACCCCAAACAGATTTTGAAGACCTCCCTTGCCCATGGCCTTTAGGAGCATCCAGGCAGGCACAATTAACAAGGGCAGATGATAGAGGAGTGGGTGGCTTCTGTATAGGCAACCATATTTAGCACATAGCAGCTTTGGACTCAGAAGTATTTATCAGAAAAGAGACCTAATTACATCATCCAGAAAGCCCAAGTAGTTTCCTGCCTCTGGGGGCATGATCGCTTGCTGACTGACCAAAGCCTCAGTGTTTACACCACTGCACAAATCAGGAGACATGTTTTCACAGGAGGAATATTGAAAAGAATATCTCCAAACTGCAAAACTTGTAAAACTGAAATCCAAATGACATTGTTGGATAGAAAGATGGCCCTTTTTTAAAAAAAGTAAAACCTATTAGGATTTAATACTCTTTCTTCCTTGCATATTATATTCTGGGGGCCACTGGGCCTTAATTTCTTAAGCCCTGGTGATGTTCTAGGCCCAGAAAGCTCTGATTTGTGCCAACTTCCTTGAAATCTTGCATAATTTCTGAAATGTGTAAGTGATTAAATAACCATCTATTTCATTCCCACCAAAACATTTCAGTTCATATGAAGATGTAAAGCAGAAATATATGTTTTGGAGGTACTCCTATTTTTAAAAATAATTTGTTTCTTTTCCTATATTTGGCTGAGGTGGGTCTTTGTTGCTGTGAGGGCTTTTCTCTAGTTGTGATGTGGGCTCCTCATTGCAGTAGCTTCTCTTCTGGCAGAGCGCAGCCTCTAGGGTGCACACGTAGTTGCAACATGTAGGTTCAGTAGTTGCAGCTTCTGGGCTCTAGAGCATAGGCTCAATAGTTGTGGCTCATATACTTAGTTTCTCTTCAGCAAGTGGGATCTTCCTGGGCTAGGAATTGAACCTGTGTCTCCTGCATTGGCAGGCAGATCCTTTGCTGCTGAGCCAACCGGGAAGCCCTGGAACTATTTCTTGAGTATGTTTAAGATCATCAAGGATTTCCCTTTCTAATAAAAGTAATGGAGACTTTATAACTGGAAGCTGAATATTTAGTTTAAGAAAATATTCATGACCCAGGGCATAAAATCAGAAATTAAGTTTTTTGGTATTTTTGTTCATCTTGAAACCTAAATCTAGACTGGACCCTCTCTTTAGATTATTCTAAGTTCCTTCTTAAAAGAAAGCTGTAAATGTACCCAAACATGGATGATTTTTTTAATGATCAACCTAAAAACATTCTAGGCATTTTTCTCCAAAGCGAGTGGCATATGTTTGGCGGTAACCACTGGATAACAGGAATGGATGGCTATATTGCCTTGGATCACCAGGAAGAATATGTCCATGTGTAGCAAGGCTTCTGTCACAAAAGCTCACCGATCGGAGGGGAATCAGGCATTTTCCTTCCCCTCTGCTTCTCTTCCCTGGCCAGTGACTTTAAACAAGAAGCAACTTTGTCAGGTGTTGAGAAACAAAAATTGTGAAGCATATCCCAACCTGGTCAGGGACAAATTTCAAAGCAATACAGTGCCTGCAAGAGAGGAGAACCGACTGATGTTTGACTGGACTGTCTTTGAGAGATGATGGTGTCTCAGGTGGCTTCAAAGGGGCTGGGTAGGTTGCTGGTTTCTGTTGTGATATTACACTCCTGAGAAATGATGGTGTTTCTACCAGAGAGGCCTCAGTTTCTACGTGCTGCATGCTAAGTCACTTCAGTTATGTCCGACTCTTTGGACCCCATGGACTGTAGCGCATCAGGCTTCTCTGTCCTTGGGATTCTCTAGGTGTGAATACTGGAGTGGGTTGCCATGCCCTCTTCCAGGGGATCTTCAGTTTACAGGGAAAACCAAAGTCCCTGTGTCTGCAAAGAAAATCTCTAAGAGTGTAATAGTTACTCAGATTATTTTTGGTGGTTGCTTTCAAAGATCCTAAGCAACTTTCATTGAATTTTACTCTCTCAACTTAATTGCTGTGCTGATTACCTTAGATGATATCCTACTTTGTCCCTGGTTTGCAGTATTGATCATGTGCCTAATAAGTTTGCAATTTAAAAATATTGACTTTTGTAGTTTTCTAGCCAGTTGTCATTGTTGTGTTTTCATAGGTAGTGATTGGTCATGGTTATGCTTTTTTGAATTTGTGCGTGCAAAATGAGGGGAGGGAGGAGAGATATTGAAATTGTAATTTGACTTAATAATTATTCGTACAATTTTCATTATGTGTCAGGTAGTAAAACTGACTATAGCTTACAAAAATAGCCTGGAAAGTTTGCTGCTAAAAATGTTTCCAACAGGCAAGGATTGTAGTCATATCCATTGAGATGGTGAGGGAGCAAGAATTTGGATTGAAAGCCAGTGTTTTAGTTGTAGGTCTGCCTTCCAGTTATTCCTGGGCAAGTTTTTGATTACCCTGCAGGCCCAATTTTCTCATCTCTAAAATGATAACATTGAACCAGGTGATCTCAGAAGAAATTTCTGGCTGTGCGGCTTTGTGACTAATTGTTGAGACCTATAATAGCAGACTTATAGTCTGTGCTTATTTAGTCATAGTGGGTGGTTCTCATGAGGAGAACATTTGAACAAATTGTGGCTCATTTCAGGAGTAGAGGTGATGCCTACAGGAGCTTACAGGATTGATGCTATCAGAGTTTCCCAGACATCAGAGTACAGTGATCACTAAACATCACTCCTCTGAATAAATTATACTGTGATCTCTTCAGCTATTTTCTAATTATAAAAGTAATAAATATCTGTGGAATGTTGTGGAAATCAAGAAAATGTACATTAGAAAGAAGAATTTCACAATTTTTCACCCAATTCCCACTAAATAGAAATACCCATCATAGCATCTAGCATATATTCTTTTTAGTCTTTTTCCTAGACATATTTTGAATAGCTAGATATGCTTATTTAGATGGATAAAATTTGCTGCTTTTCTTTAGCAAAAGTATTTTTTTCATTTAACAAAGTATTGTTTTTATTATAGCAAAAGTATTTTCCTATGTCACTGAGAAATATCTCTATAAACAACATCGTTATTTTTGGCTCTAAGTAATCCTTCCTTGGACTTCACTGGTAGCTCAGCGGTAAAGAATCTGCCTGCTAATGCGGGAGATGCAGGTTTGATCTCTGAGTCAGGAAGATACCCTGGAGAAGGAAATGGCAATCCACTCCAGTATTCTTGCCTGAGAAATCCCATGGACAGAGAAGCCTGGTGAGCTATAGTCCATGGGGTCACAAAAGACTTGGGTGTGACTTAGTGACTAAACAACAACAACCCCTCCTTAGACTTAATGTTAAGGGCAAGCCATTATGGAACATGTAATATGCCAAATACGATGCTGGGTGCTTAACATGCTGATGAATTCTCACAGTGTTCCTTTGAGAGAGGTAATATTATTGCAGTTTTGCAGGCATGGAAGCTGAAGCTTAGAGAAGTTCAATAACTTGTTCATGATTACCATTGGTTCAGGTAAAATTGGAACCCATCTTTCTTATCTGTGGTCTTAATCTCTGCACTGTATTTAAAATTTTTTCTATTATCAGACATTTTCCCCTACTTTTTCTCTAAGTAATAATATATTAAATATTTTGACAAATTCTTCTGCATTTTATGTTACATCTTTAGAATTCTAGAGGTATAAAGCTATTGGTTCAAAAGAATCTAAACATTTTAATACACTCAATATATTTTCTTTGACTTTCTTTTATTCCACAGAAAATATCCATTTGATATGTTCCATGACTGTACCTTGCTTTCAATGTAACATGATTGCTTCACTTCATTATTGAATCTGATTCTTTATTTTCCAATTTTAATTTGTTTTTTAAAAATAATTTATAAATAATTCTGCATTCTCAGTTGTACTAGGAACCATATATTTTATTTAAGAGGCTTATAATAGCATATAGTTCTTAACCTTTGTATATTTAGTAAACTGACTGATTTTAATGTGCAAATCAAAGAAATTTCCAATAATTTTGGAAAGTTAGATATCTGCCATGGGCAGCCTATGTTCAGGAAATTTTTATTTGTGAATATGAATAGAGAAATTCATAGAAAGAACCTATAGTGTTTTTTGAGCATGCTTTGACATTTAAGTTTGGTATCTTGGTGCTTATTTCTTCAAAATCAGTAAAATTATTAAAGCGCTTAAATGTTTGCCTTTTATGTGAAAATAATGGTCATCATGACAATTATTTTCTGGAAATTACTTGTTTTTAGTAATCAATTTCATGTTTTCTTTGGTTAGGTCTACCTCTCTTGGTTCAAAGAACAATTGCAAGGACGATTGTACTTCAGGAAATAGTAGGAAAAGGTAGATTTGGTGAGGTCTGGCATGGAAGATGGTGTGGAGAAGATGTGGCTGTGAAAATATTCTCCTCCAGAGATGAAAGATCGTGGTTTCGAGAGGCAGAAATTTATCAGACAGTTATGCTGAGACATGAAAACATCCTTGGTTTCATTGCTGCTGACAACAAAGGTATTTTCAACCTAATTGAGTTCAGCAAATAAAATTTTATGTTTATTATCAGAGGAGAATAAATAATCTCTTTGTTTTAATAAAATCTCCATGAAAGTCTGATTTCATTTTTGAGAAAAGAAGATGTTTTCCTCTTGTCCACAGGTAAATGTGCAATAAATGTACAATAAAGCAGGGCAGATGAGTGATATATAGTCATGATGACACTACAGCCAGTTTGATATTTAAAATATTTTATGACTGGTATGGAACAGGAACTAACCAATCAGAACAGAAACTTCAACTGTAACAGAGTCCTGGGAGAACCCTGCCAGGCTAGGTTTTATCCCTTTAGTTGCTGAGTCATAAAAAGATCCGGAGGCATCTTGAGGGTTCCAGAGTTGCCTTGGGTGGCTAGGGCAAAGGAATACCATTGGAGGTTTTGAATAGCAGCTGTTAATTAAACAGGACAGAAATGTTTCAATATTTTGATAATTGATACAAAAATACCAGTGAACGATGGCTGACTATTCATCTTTGTTAGGACTATACTTTCCTCTGCACATCACAGTTCAACTCCAGGACTCAAGTTTTCTATGAACATTATTAGAATGGTAGCAAGCAAGGTAATTTTAGTGAAATTAATGTACTTTAGGTATGGTTTATATCTTGAGGTTTAACATTAACAACCCCAAATAACACAACATTCTGAGATTTGTGGAACAAGACAGATCATCACTTTTTTGGTATATAATTCAGTAGTCACATGCCCAGTAATCAGGGACTGAATATAAAGCCTGTGTATTACCTATGCTGTCTTTCTTCTTTTTGCATAGCTTTTACTCATTTGGCTATGAAATAGTTGCCTTAAAGAGAAACAGAGAACAAAAGTGAGCAAAACTTGATCCAGTCAATTATTTTATTATTTGAATCAGTAATACTCATTAAGAACCTTGGAAAGGTATTTATTGTAACCTTTATCTAAAAAACCAAATTATCTGTGGCTATTAGAAACCTACCATTACCTATGAAATTTAAAATCTATGGTTACTTCTATTTAATATAAGCTTGGTCATGAAAGTATTTATGATTAATTAGATAGCCAAAGAGAATCTTATTGTTGTTATACATTTTGCCCATAGTTACATTTGTTGATGCCTTGTCTTTTCTGATTTGCCAGGGAGAAAGTGAGTAAAAACAAGTAAAGCCAGGGAGAAACTGAGCTTAAAAAAAAGATTCTTTCCAAATTCTTAACTATACTATTGAAAAGGAAGCATTTCTGATTAGGTTGTTAAGAACTTGTACTTTTTCTGTATAACATTGAGCGAAACTATCTACTAATTAGCTTAATTTGCAATGTTATAAAAGTAGTAATGACTGTAGTTACGTGGTTTATCCTGATGGACCTAATTTAATCATTACATTTATTGGATTATAAAATAATGTGCACAGGAAAGATAACCCTTGATTGTTTCTTATTGAGTTTAACTGGTTTACCTTTGTTGATGGCCTCCTTGTCTGTGGCTTTGATCCCAAATGGTCTCTAACATCACTTTCATCTTCATGCATTTCTATGTCTTTTGCAACACTTACAATTTCACTTTTAGTCAACTGTCTGACAGAGACATTGATACGAGAGGGCAAAGATAACCGCTGCTGTTGAGCAGGGAGAGAGGTGTGAGCAAGGATTAGTTTTATTCATGTATGTAGTCTGTTTTTTTATTAGCAAAATTTATCATGTTGTGTTGCTCTTTGAACTCCTCAGAAATTTGATCACTACCTGGATTTGGAAATGAAATATTTGGGTAAATAGGAGCTCTTGTATGTAAAGCACTAGGTGGAAGAATTCCTTACCAAATGTTCATTAATTATAGTTTCCTTTCACTGAGAATAAAAACTGGTCAGGACTTCCCAGGGCTATTGTAGGCATTTTATTCTGAAAGCTAAAGCGAAGTCTAGGGACTCTAACATGTAGATAATTTTTAGGCTAATTTCTCTTCTGCTAAAAATCTTTTATAAACTGGATTAGCTTTTGGTTAAATAAGGCAAATTATTTGAAAAGGCCTAGTAATTGTGATTGGTACTTAATATAAGCTTTGAAGGGAATTGTAAACTTCCTATTTTGAAAGCTGAATAAGATGAACATGCTTGGAATAGTAGAGCTTTTATGATAGTAATAATACTTTGTGTAAATTTGCTGTATTTCTGTTTCCTAGTGGTACAATCTTTCTTAAAAGCTCAAGAATAATTTATAACACAATGCTGAACCTAAATGCATCTCTCAGTAGTTTCTCCTATAATATGGTTGCTATTACCAGCAGGTATTGATATAGAGAGAATAAGAAAGGAGTAGTTCAGTTGTTGGAATCACTGCCTCACAGTTTCCTATGGTGATGGTGGGTACATGTAATAGGTTCTGCTCTATCAATAGGAATTCATTGAAAATTTTCATGCTACTAACTCGGACTGTATTATCATTGGAGGAATTAACTTTGCTTTGTTAACAATACAGATGTACTTTAAATGCTGACATTTGTTAAAAGCTTTTGGCTTCTTTCTTAACATAAACTTACAGCAACAAAATAATTTTTCTGTTAGATAATGGAACTTGGACTCAGCTTTGGCTTGTCTCTGAATATCATGAACAGGGTTCCTTATATGACTATTTGAATAGAAACACAGTGACAGTGGCTGGAATGATCAAGCTGGCACTATCAATAGCTAGTGGTCTGGCCCACCTTCATATGGAGATTGTTGGTACACAAGGTATGTATTTTCTAATTTTTTTCTCCTTGAATATGAGGATAGAAGCACTAAGTTGTATTTTAGTGTTCAGCTGGGTTTTAGTTTATTACAAAAAGTTATCAAATGTAAAGAAACACAAAAAGTACTTTATAAAGCTGAAGGTTTTGGCATGATATAGCCAACTCTTACCTATATACTCATCATTTTGTATACTAGCCATAATAATATTTTTATTCCTAGTGACTCTATTGTCACTGTTTAGCATATGTATCTGAGAGATCTTGCTTTGGTAGCAAATGCTCCATTCTCAGAGGTTACAAATAATTGAACTGTTTTTAAAAAACTGGAAAGGGTAAGGTGATCTTAAAATTACTTCTATGTCATGTACTTGAAAGCCAAATAACACACACTGTCTTGTCTATTTATTGAGTTAATAGAGAATTGGCTCTAGAAAGTTGGTCTTGTCACTGTAGTGCTTCTCAGATTTGGATTCTTGATCCCTTTAAATGCTTAAAAATTATTGAGGACCCAAAATTTGTGGATGTGGGTTATATCTGTTAATATTTACTGTATTAGAAACTAAAATAGATTTTAAAATATTTATTAATTTAAAGTACAATAATTAATAATTAAATATGAAAATAAATAACAGTTAAAAAAACATAATTTTTATAGTATAAAACCCAAACTAGCTAAAATAATGGTTTTGTTTTACACATTTGCAAATCTCCTTAATGTCTGGATTTTCACACCTGTTCTTCATTTAGTCTGCCCCAGTATGTTGTTATTGGTTAAAGTGTGTAAAGAAAAGGTGACATCACACAGCTATGTCATTGGAAAAGAGCTTCAAAGGCCCCCAGGGATATTTGGGCCAAATTTGAGGCCTTCTGGTCCAGGATAATAAACGTTTGAAACTTGTTTTTTAGGAGAATATTTGCTATGTTCTTATGTGGATGTAACAATGCTAATACTTTCCCTACTTATTCAACAAATATTTATTAATGGTTACTAAATGTCACCTAGTATTCTAAGCAAGGAGGGATGGTGATGAGTAAGACATAACCACTGTCTTATGTAGCCTACAGTCTACTTGGGAATGACAAATAATGCCTATAAATAAATAAGATAACTCAGATAGCGGTAAAAGCTATGAAGAAGGCAAAATGGGGGTAGTCTGATGATGGTGAATTGGGATGTTGATTAGGGGTCAGGGAAGACCTTTCTTAGAAGGTAACATCTGAACCAAGTCTTTCAAAATGAATCCTCTTGGAGAGATTCAATCTTTAGTAATGGAAAAAGTGAATATATTTATCTTATGCTTATAGGTAAACCTGCTATTGCTCATCGAGATATAAAATCAAAGAATATCTTAGTGAAAAAATGTGAAACTTGTGCCATAGCAGACTTGGGGTTGGCTGTAAAGCATGATTCAATACTGAACACTATTGACATACCTCAGAACCCTAAAGTAGGAACCAAAAGGTAAGATAACATACTTGGGTAGCATATGTTGTTTAGTTGCTAAATTGTGTTCGATTCTTTGCTACCCCACGCACTGTAGCCCACCAGGCTCCTTTGTCCATGGCATTTCCCAGGCAAGAATACTGGAATAGGTTGCCATTTCCTACTCCAAAGACTTACGACTGCCCCATAAACATGAATGCCTGGGATATGTGTTAAGAGAGGAGGGTAGTGTATCCAACATCATTAGGCCTAAGTAAGCAAGAATTCTTCTCTGGTTCACTGAGAAATCAGTGGCACAATGGTTATAAAGCAAGGAGAGTTGGCATTGAATCTTACAGAAAGGAGCTCTTTGGGTGGGGAATCAGTATGGAGGAATGATGGAATTGATGGTGATATATTACTTTTAGTGTGCGCGTCTGAGAATACATTTTCTTACAGAGAGAAAAAAAAAAACACACAAAACCATCATTAATGTATAGCTCTTTGAAAGCCTCTATATTTTATAAATGATCTGAAATTCAACGCTAGTTGTGTATAGTCATACTCTAAACAATTGATATAGAATCAATATACAGATTAAGTAAGGGACTCTTACAATGAATGTATGTATGTGCTATTATATCCTCTCAATACTTAAAAATATTATATAATATATGGTTATACTTATCCTGAAGTCTCCCAAGTTGATGTGTATTAAGATACTATGAGTTTGGACACAGTTCCCACTTTCAAGGAACAGAATCTCTGAAAGTTAAGAACAAACATAATATAAATAAAGCATACCACACATATGTCAAGACAGGCCCATTAGTAATGGAATTTCTGGTGTTTTCCTATTATAGCCAGACTGTAGCCATATGGCCAGCATACTTCCATTTCCTTTCATTTGAATTTCAGGATCTGTGCTATTTGGCATAATTCCAGGTTTATTGACCTTGAAATCAGAAACAACCAAAACACTTTCCTGAAGTTGTTAAAGGCCCTTGAGAGTAGAGAATTTCTAAGCTGGTATAGTTAGTGTCCAAGCCATATTTGAGATTCCAGGCTGAGTCCTTCACTTGGTTTCCTGGGAGACTTTAGTGGGCCCAGAAACACTTCAGGATGGTTTATTCCGACTGGGCAAGCCCTAAGGGATCTCTTCTCTTTTCCCTTTAAAAAGCAAGCTTTAACCTGTACTTCAGGGAAGACTTGGATACTGGATTCCTTCAGAGAATCTAAAACTTAAAAGATTGGGAAGAGTGTTGTGTCCTCACGTCACTATTCTGAGAAATCCTCGAAATCTCCCTAGAACAGCTTGGCTCAGTCAGGTCCCATGGATTGTAGAATTTGATTTAATTCTATTCAAACAGCCTGAATTATCTTGGTGCCAATAAGTAATATGAATATATGTTTTGAAGCCAGTGTATTCAGTTGGCCAAAAAGTTCATTGGCCAAGCCAATATAATAAAATTGTTTATTCGGAGCAGGTATTTGTGGAATAATTCTGAGCACTGTGTACCAGGCCCACAATGATGAATAAAATATACTCCTTGCCCTGAAAGAGCTTTCTTGGCTACAAACTGCTGGTGGAACTTGAGTTCCATCTTTTCTGTTGGGTGCTTTCCAAGTATTTGGCTCCTGACCCATATGCTTTAACACTAGGATGACCTCTAGTTCTATTTTTAAAGTTTTTAAAATTATCTTTTGATAACTGTATTATTTAATTTTATTCTATTATAGTGGCTCAGATCCCCCTGTAAATTTGATGTAAACTGCCTTAACTTATATATCAGGATGAATTAAGATTGTGTTTTACCAGACTGCTATAAAATCATAGACGGAATCTGAAATATGCATGTTTTTGAAGGTATATGGCCCCTGAAATGCTTGATGATACAATAAATGTGAATATCTTCGAGTCCTTCAAACGAGCTGACATCTATTCTGTTGGTCTGGTTTACTGGGAAATAGCCCGGAGGTGTTCAGTTGGAGGTAAGGTTTTGGAAATACTCTTTGTGTCTGCCTTTCCTTGGTGCTTGAATTCAATGCACTATATCAAATTATTTCTAAATATTTAAAAGATTATCTTTTGGTGATATCTTTCCAGTGGTAAAAATGGAGCATCTTGAACAGGATGGAGATTTTAAGTTGTAATTACTGCTTAGTTCTCCTGATAATTCTGGTTTCCATAATAATATTTTGCAAAGCCCTTGAACTTTTTTTTGTTTAAGCTGTTTTCCTATTTTTTATCAGAAATGAAACCCAAAGAAGCTAAATGCCTTGCCAAGGCTACAGGATTTAAATTAAAGTGTTCTGGTTCTCAGGCTTTTCTTGTTCTTTTCTTTCCGGTGATGATGAATATGTGAGGATTAAAGTGGAGGGCAGAGGTGAGCAAAGACTAACTTCCTGATTCTGCTCCCAGCAGTTTAGAGATTAATGAGAGGAAGAATTTGGGAGGATGAAGCCCTCTAAACACAGGCTGAGAAAACTGTTGCATCAGTGGAGAAAAGTTAAATCCTGGTAGAAAGTGATTTAGAGTTTTCAATTTCAAGTGAGACAGAGTTAGGCCTAAGCTTTGGTTTAGCAACTTTCTGAATATCTGACTATAGGTGAGGTATGTGGTCTCACTTCACTTGTCTGTAAAATGAAGATAATAAAACTGACCTCTTGGGCTTTAAGGATTTAATGGACTAATTCAATTAACTCATGTAAAGCTTTTAGTACAGAGCCTACTCTGTAAACAATAACTGTTGAGATTAAACCACTGTCAGTTACTGCATTTTGTTTGATGTCATTTTGCCTTACATCAATCTTATTCTATAAAAAATGAAAACCTTACAAGGTTAAAATTATATTTGAATGAGAAAACATGCTTTTCCCCTTTTATTCCTAGGTTAGATAGTAAAATATTCAGGAAGATGAAAATATTTATAGAAGCAATAGAGTGGTGCAGAAACAGAACATGGACATTGGAATCCTCAAACTTGGGACTGAGTTCCAGATCTGCCACTCGGTAGTGACATAACCTTGAACAAATTCACCACACTTTGTGACTCAGTTTCCTGATTCTGTAAACACGGGATAATCTGGTGCTTTCTTTAGTCACTGGTTTTGAGGAATAATTAGTTAAAACATGTAAAGGGCTTAGAAAAATACTCAGTAAATAGCAAGATTCAAACATATTTGTTATTATTTTTTCAAATTTTGTACTGATATTTGCCTAGATTTGTTTTTAGATTGTTATCTTTAAATTTTCTTCCATAGTTGAAATACTAATTTAGTAACATGATTTGAATTTCACTTTCTAAATTATGGCACTTCTTAGATACTTAAATTAAAAAAAATCGATAATTAATTAGACTGATTTTGTAAGAAAATTCTTAAATTTAAGTGCCATTTTGATAATTAAGATCATCTTCAAATACTTTTGGCCATTTCTCTGGAACATTCTCAGGTGTAATACTTCTAAAATCCAAATGTAAAAAACTCACCTTTTGAAAGGTTACCTAACAATTTTCAAAAAGTGAAAGCCATTTTGTTTTGAAAAGGATAAACATACTTTATTCATGGAGAAATGTACATCATTTACAGATCAATGAGGCTCTGCTGTTAAATTTTGCAATTAGGTATTACTTTTGAATTGCACGATGGCATTTTGTGGAAATCCAAGTTTATATAATTTTATCAGTTCAATTCAGTCGCTCATTTGTGTCCGACTCTGCGACCCCATGAACCGGAGCACGCCAGGCCTCCCTGTCCATCACCAACTCCCAAAGTCTACCCAATCTCATGTCCATTGAGTTGGTGATGCCATCTAACCATCTCATCCTCTGTTGACCCCTTTTCCTGCCTTCAATCTTTCCCAGCATCAGGGTCTTTTCAAATGAGTCAGCTCTTCACATTAGGTGGCCAAAATATTGGAGTTTCAGCTTCAACATCAGTCCTTCCAATGAACACCCAGGACTGATCTCCTTTAGGATGGACTGGTTGGATCTCCTTGCAGCCCAAGGGACTCTCAGGAGTCTTCTCCAACACCACAGTTCAAAAGCATGAATTCTGCTGCACTCAACTGTCTTTATAGTCCAACTCTCACATCCATACATGACTTCTGGAAAAACCACAGCTTTGACCAGATGGACTTTTGTTTATAAAGCAATGTCTCTGGTTTTTAAAATTCTGTCTAGGTTAAACATAGCTTCTCTTTCAAGGAGTAAGCATCTTTTGATTTCATGGCTGCAATCACCATCTGCAGTAATTTTGGAGCCCAGAAAAGTAAAGTCAGCCACTGTTTCCCCATTTATTTGCCATGAAATGATGGGACTGGATGCCATGATCTTAGTTTTCTGAATGTTGAGCTTTAAGCCAACTTTTTCACGCTCCTCTTTCACTTTAATCAAGAGACTCTTTAGTTCTTCTTCACTTTCTGCCATAAGGGTGGTGTCATCTGCATATCTGAGGTTATTGATATTTCTCCCGGCAATCTTGATTCCAGATTGTGCTTCTTCCAGCCCAGTGTTTCTCATGATGTACTCTGCATATAAGTTAAATAAGTACAGTGACAATATACAGCCTTGACATATTCCTTTTCCTATTTGGAACCAGTCTGCTCTTCCATGTCCAGTTCTAACTGTTGCTTCCTGACCTGCATACCGGTTTCTTAAGAGGCAGGTCAAGTGGTCTGGTATGCCCATCTCTTTCAGAATTTTCCACAGTTTCTTGTGATCCACACAGTCAAAGGCTTTGGCATAGTCAATAAAACAGAAATAGATGGTTTTCTAGAACTCTCTTGCTTTTTCAATGATCCAGCGAATGTTGGCAATTTGATCTCTGGTTCCTCTGCCTTTTCTAAAACCAGCTTGAACATCTGGAAGTTCATGGTTCACATATTGCTGAAGCCTGGCTTGGAGAATTTTGAGCATTACTTTACTAGTGTGTGAGATGAGTGCAATTGTGTGGTAGTTTAGCATTCTTTGGCATTGCCTTTCTTTGGGATTGGAATGAAAACTGACCTTTTCCAGTCCTGTGATTACTGCTGAGTTTTCCAAATTTGCTGACATATTGAGTGCAGCACTTTTGCAGCATCATCTTTTAGAATATGAAATGACTCAGTTGGAATTCCATCACCTCCACTAGCTTTGTTCATAGTAATACTTTGTAAGGCTCATTTGACTTCACATTTCAGGATGTCTGGCTCTAGGTGAGTGATCACACCATCGTGATTGCCTGGGTCGTGAAGATCTTTTTTGTACAGTTCTTCTGTGTATTCTTGCCACCTCTTCTTAATATCTTCTGCTTCTGTTAGGTCCATACAATTTCTGTCCTTTATTGAGCCCATCTTTGCATGAAATGTTCCCTTGATATCTCTAATTTTCTTGAAGAGATCTCTAGTCCTTCCCATTGTATTGATTTCCTCTATTTCTTTGCACTGATCACTGAGGAAGGCTTTCTTATCTCTCCTTGCTATTCTTTGGAACCCTGCATTCAAATGGGTATATCTTGCCTTTTCTCCTTTGTTTTTCTCGTCTTTTCTTTTCACAGCTATTTTTAAGGCCTCCTCAGACAGCCATTTTGCTTTTTTGCATTTCTTTTTCTTGGGGCTGGTCTTGATTCCTATCTCCTGTACAATATCACAAACCTCCGTCCATAGTTCATCAGGTACTGAGTCTATCAGATCTAGTCCCTTAAATCTATTTCTCACTTCCACTGTATAGTCATAAGGGATTTGATTTAGGTCATACCTGAATGGTCTAGTGGTTATCCCTACCTTCTTCAGTTTAAGTCTGAATTTGGCAATAAGGAGTTCATGATCTGAGCCACAGTTAGCTCCTGGTCTTGTTTTTGCTGACTGTATAGAGCTTCTCCATCTTTGGCTGCAAAGAATATAATCAATCTGATTTCGGTGTTGACCGTCTGGTGATGTCCATGTGTAGAGTCTTCTCTTGTGTTGTTGAAAGAGGGTGTTTGCTGTGACCAGTATTTTTATAATTATTCAAAGTTCTATAAATGTAATAATGGTTTTATATAAAATTAAATGTAATATATAATATAAAACAGTATATTTTATATAATAATTATTTATTTTTTGTTTTATATCATATAAATGATAATCAAAATTATATAAATTTTCATAATAATTTTATAAACATATAACTACTCAACTGAGAGCTTTCATCTTGTAGGTTTGGTATTACAGTGTTATATAATTTGAATAAACCTGATTTTCCAGTTTTCCAGCATGCCACTTGTGCCTAGAAAACTTAATTGGTATTAGTTTCAAATAAACATCTTTGTTTTTTATTCACACTAGGAAATTTATTATGTAAATTTTTTGTAGGAATTGTTGAGGAGTACCAGTTGCCTTATTATGACATGGTGCCTTCAGATCCCTCAGTAGAAGAAATGAGGAAGGTTGTTTGTGACCAGAAGTTACGACCAAGTATTCCAAACCAGTGGCAAAGCTGTGAAGTAAGGCTATGTTCTTATATATATTTTTCCCACTATAAGTTTGAGGCAAGTATAAGAGAGGATTTTCAGACACCGTGTAGTTCCTTTCTCTTAATCTAGGCCTCCAATTCATTTCACGTAGGTGGGTCTATGTGTTTGTATAAGCTTCAGAAGGATTTTATTCCCTTTGGCTGTTGGTATCATAATGCTAAATTATGTGACAGGAACTACCTTGACATCCCAGTGACTTTACATAAGACTTTATTTCTTGCTATCAAGTCCCTTACAGTTTAGGCAACTTTCATCAGCATCTGTGCTATATTTGGTGACTCAGTAATCCAGGTGACTTTGACTTGGGATGCTGCTATTTCAACACATAGTTCCAGAGGTATAGGTCAGGGGAAGGGAGAAGCTAGAGGGTCAGACACCAGCTCTCTAATGCTTTGCCTCAAGTGACACACAGCACTTCCACTCATGGTTCATAGACTAGAACCAGTTACACAGTCCCATCTAACTGAAGGGGACTGGGGATGTCAGAAACACAGGCATATTCAGAGGGTAGTCAATGTTTGTGCTACACGATTATTACAATTTTAGTCATCCTTATATTCAGCAAGTTATTCTTAATCCCTAATGTATGGCTTTCTTTCATCAGAAAACTTCTCCGTGGCGGGGATCATTGTTGTTTATCTCCTTATCCTGAACCACACATGTAGTAACCATCATAGAGCAGACATATTGCAATGCTTGTTTTGCCTATGTGAAGAGAAAGACTTTTCTAACTCCCACAGAAAGTAGAAGGGAAGGTAGGGGAAAGACTATAAATCATCTAACAAATTCCAAAGCTATTTTAATGCTTTAATCTCCCTATCCCAATTATGACTGTTTATCTTCTGCCATGTTTAAGTGTAATGCTTGAGGTGTTTTTTTAGGTGACATCTTTTAGTTTTGGCTTTGTCATGTGTCATGTCTTAAAGTTATTTTTCCCCTCATTTTTCCTCTCCTTCATGTTTCACTCAACTCATTTTCTATTTAAGGCAAGATTTATGTCCTGATATTTCTATTTTGTTTAGAATATAGGTAAAGTATTCTATATAGGTAAAATATACTTATTTTTGAAGCAGAATTTGAGGCATTTATAACAAAATTGAAATTAAAACTTTTTCTAACATTAACCATTTCATGCATAAATGAAAGAATATTAACATATATATAAATTTAAGAGATAATATTAGAATTCCACGTTTAAAAAATAGAACACTTCTAATACCTTTGAACATTCTTCATCCCTCTGAGAGGCTGCTATTGTAACTAATCATTTTATTATTACTTTTCTTTTCTTTAGAATTTAGCTATATATTTATGGCTAACTTTTGCTTAATTGTGAAATGTATTATTGATACTATGGATATTCTTCTTAGTTTTTTTTTTTTAACTTTACCTTATATAGTACAGCTATTATTGGTTTATTTTCATATCTGTATAGTATTCTGTTGTATGGATATAGCACAATTTCTTTTTTTCATTCTGCTGTTGATTGTCATATGTGTGATTTTTAGCTTCTTTTAGAACAATGCTGCTCTGTGTGTATGTGAAGTGAAGTGAAGTGAAGTTGCTCAGTCGTGCCCGACTCTTTGCGACCCCATGGACTGTAGCCTACCAGGCTTCTCCCATGGGATTTTCCAGGCAAGAGTGCTGGAATGGGTTGCCATTTCCTTCTCCAGAGGATCTTCCCCACCCAGGGATCGAACCCAGGTCTCCCTCATTGTAGGCAGATGCTTTACCGTCTGAGCCACCAGGGAAGTGTATATGTCTGTACAAATTATTTCTTTAGGGTATAAAACTGTAGATTCTTTTGGAGTGTCCACATAGATGATCATTACCTCCAAATAATGAGAGTTCTAGAACCAATCCTCATAGCTTTGTTATTACAGTTTCTAGGACTTCTAGTATAATGTTGCCTGAAAGGGACGATAGTTTTGCTCCTTAAAACCTTGCATGTCTCACCTTTGAATGTCATATTTGCTGTGGGTTTTGCTCATAAAAACTGACTTGGTTTGATAAAAGCTTTCTTACTATCTCTGAGGTGCTATGTCATTTCTGCTTTAGTGTCTTATTGTGATAGATTGCATTTGTGGATTTTCCACTGTTAAACCAATCATGCATTCCTAGAATAAGCCTAACAATGTCATTTTTATACAATGAATTTTCTACATTTTATGAAATGAATTTGTTCATTTTTGCCCAATATTTTAGTTCTTTTTTGTTTTGTATTAATCCCACATATTAGATATTTGTGAGATTTTTATACCATCATCGTTTTTTTCTAGAATTATGAACATGTTTATCATTTTCTTTGTTCAACATTCCTTCTTGGCTCTCAGAGCTTCATTTTAAGGTAATTTTCTGATTTCTTCATGTGCATCTTTTAAATGTATTTTATTTGAATTGCTTTTTAGTGAGGATCTAAAAGTTGTAAGTTCTTTCAGTGTTTGGGTGTCTGAAAACATCTTTATTTTGTCCTCAATTCTGAACAAATAGTTTATCTTGGCATTAGAATTTAGGTTTGCAGTTATTTTCTCTAAGTACTTTAAAGATGTTATTCCACTAGCTTCTGACTTCTATTATTGTTGTTGAGAAGTCAGCTAATTTTAGATTATTTTTAGTTAATTTCTTTTCTTCCAGACCTCTTTAAGAACTTCTTTATGTCTTTTGCATTCTGAGTTCTCTGTGATGTATTTGGTATGGATATCTCTTGATCAATTTTGTCTGGATGTTTTGGACTTTCTGATTCTTAAGATTTGTGACTATCCTCAGTTGTGGAAAATTCTGAGCCATTATCTCTTCAAATAGTTCATCTTTTCATTTTTTTATTGCCCATTTTTAGAGAACTCATTGTATGCATGTTAGACCTTTCATTTTACTTTGCTTGTCTCTTTGCTTGTCTACTGTTCATATTTCTGTATTTATGAATAGTCTCTCATATTTATCTTCTAGTTCACCAATTCTACATTTACATGTGTCTAATCTGCCTTTTGGGCTTCCCAGGTGGCACTAGTAGTGAAGAACCCACCTGCCAAAGAGGGAGCTGCAAAAGACGTGAATTCTACCATCCCTGGGTTGGGAAGATCCCCTGGAGGAAGGCATGGCAACCCACTCCAATATTCTTACCTGGAGAATCTCGTGGATAGAGGAGCCTGGTGGGCTGCAGTCCATACGGTCACGAAGAGTCAGATACAAATGAAGCGACTTAGCACAGCACAGCACAATCTGTCATTTAACTCATCCATTTAGGTTTTTTATTATAGTAGTTATATTTTTCATGTCAAGTTTTACTGACATGAAAAGTACTTTTTCTTTTATAAATACACTTTTTTTATACTAATGTTTAGACTTTTCTCTTTGCTTTTTACTGATTTTATTTTTCATATCATTTAACTCTAACATCTAGTGTTTTGATAGGTTTGATTTTCCTATTTTTTTGTTTTAACTGCCTCTTGTTAAAGATGGTTTGTTTCCTCGTCTACTTGTGAATTTTCATTATGAACTCAGGTTTACTGCAACATCATAAGGCTAAGGTTTGATTTTTTTTCTTTACCAAGAGTCAAGATCTAGGCAATTTTCTTTACAAAGTTCCTTCGAAGGCCAATTCATCCTTACAGTCTAGAATTTGTAAACATCTTCATCTGACATTTTTTTGTGTGCTTTAGACTATGTTTCCTGTCTTACATGTAGTCCGTCAGTTCTGAAATTCTAGACTGTAAGATCCAAAGATGCCCCCAGAGCAGCTCCTTGCTACAGTGATTTCTTTTACCACTCTGGATTCATGCCTTCTCATTGTTTTCCCCTCTGTTATTTATCCTATTTATTTACCAGTTCACTTATACTGATTTTTTTCATTATTTTATTGTGGTATAATTTGCATATAATAAAATGCATAAATTTTAGTGTACAGCTTGATGACTTAAAAAGACAAGTATACATGTATACTTACCATCAAGATCAACACAGGGAATTTCCAGCCCATCCCATATCCATTTTTGTCTTTCATGTCCTTTCTTAGAATATTTTGTACAATAGTTATTCTGTCATATTCCCATAATTAAATTAATTTTTAATTTTCATTTAAAGGAAAATGTATATCCTCTATATGTTAATATCTGTGTTTTTACAAAATTTTAAAAAATATCTTAATTTCACTGTTCAGTTCAATTGCTCAGTCTGTTTGACTCTTTGCGACCCCATGGACTGCAGCACGTCAGGCCTCCCTGTCCATCACCAACTCCCAGAGTTTACTCAAACTCATGTCCATTGAGTTGGTGATGCCTTCCAACCATCTCATCCTCTGTTGTTCCCTTCTCCTCCCACTTTCAATCTTTCCCAGCATCAGGGTCTTCTCCAATGAGTCAGTTCTTCACATCAGATGGCCAAGTATTGGAGTTTCAGCTTCAACATCAGTCCTTCCAATGAATATTCAGGACTGATTTCCTTTACTGGTTGGATCTCTTTGCAGTCCAAAGGACTTTCAAAAGTCTTCTCCAATACCACAGTTCAAAAGCATCAATTCTTTGGTGCTCAGCTTTCTTTATGGTCTAACTCTCACATCCATATATGACTACTGGAAAAGGCATAGCTTTGACTAGATGGACCTTTGTTGGTGAAGTAATGTCTCTGCTTTTTAGTATGCTGTCTAGGTTGGTCATAATTTTCCTTCCAAGGAGCAATTGTCTTTTAATTTCATGGCTGCAGTCACCATTTGCAGTGATTTTGGAGCCCCCCACCCCAAATTAAAGTCTGTCACTGTTTCCATTGTTTCCCTATCTATTTGCCATGAAGTGATGGGACTGGATGCCATGATCTCCGTTTTCTGAATATTGAGGTTTAAGCCAACTTTTTCATTCTCCTCTTTCACTTTCATCAAGAGACTATTTAGTTCTTCTTCACTTTCTGCCATAAGGGTGATGTTATGTACATATCTGAGGTTACTGATATTTCTCCTGGAAATCTTGATCCAAGCTTGT